AGCTCTGTGTAACATTTATAGCCCAAGTAAACTGACAGTCCCTGATCTTAAGATGACATTTTAAGGAATATAGTGTTCAAGGGAAAAAAAAAGGGAATAAAGAGGAGACAGAAAAAAGGCTGATACTAATTGTTACATTCAAGTGCTTTAATTTTACATTTTGACAAGAAAGTCAAAAGCAGTCTCTTCTATTCTCTATCTGTAAAAGGATAAGGAATGGTTCTGAAAAATGGGAGGAAGGGCTGCCAGCAATATAAAGATCAGATAAGCGGGGCAAGAAACTAATTTGAGAAAACATCTCAAACAAGCGTTTCCCTAGCTTACACGAAAGTGAAGCAAAGAGAAAGCACATTCAGACTTGCAAGACTATTTTTAATTTTATTTATTTATTTGTATCCCACCTTTATTATTTTTACACATAACCCAAGGCTGCAAACATCTTCCCACAATAACCACCCTTGTTGTTGTGGGAAGATGTTTGCTGCCTTGACTTATTTGTAACTCAAATAATGTGGTGAGGTGGTTTGGGATGAGTGAGTGACCCAGCTGGCTTTCATGGCTCAAGCAGGACTTTGCTGTAGCAATAATAATAAAAGTGGCCCTCACCTATTTGGCACTGGTTTCTTAATCTGGACCACCTTATAGGGTTGATGTTACTTGTAATATTATATGGAAGTGAGCTTAGGGAGACCAGGCAAAAAGCTGCTGCTACCTGGGAAATGGTTAGATAAAAGGGATAGTGGGTGGAGCAAGGGGCTCAAGAGGGACCCTTCCTAAGTTATTGGGCTCTAAAAGTGACAGAGGGAGAACTGTACTTTCAGACTTGCAAGATTCTATTTAGGTAGTTTTACAATAAATTAAAATTAGCTTATCTGGCTGTATTTCCCGTCTGATCTATCTAGTAAGGATGACCCTATCTCATTTCCAACATAGTTGAAAATAATTTGGCAGTGTTTCTAAACTTGTTTTAATGCTGCTCCTGAAGACTGTTTAGTAGTTACAGCTGATACAGAATATGGTTTATGAAGTTTCTGGTATGTTGAAATATGCTAATATAATATTGTAGCTCTGTGAGCTGCCCTGGCTGCTAATGAGATTCTGGATACAATTCAGGTTGCTGGTTATCACTTGTAAAGCCCGTCATAGCATAGGACCTTGTTATTTGAGAGAGTGCCAATTTTTTTTATCATTTTTGCCTGTCTGGTAAATAGGTGAGAATAGGTGTGGTCTAGATTCCCTTGATTAAACAATGTCATCTATAAAGACTTAGAAAGCACAAATTCTCTTTCATGGGACCTGCCTTCTCCAATAGTATCCTCTCAGGGATCCGTATGGCTTACATTTATTGAAATTCTGAAAATCCCTGAAAATCTGGCTATTCTTAGGGTATTGTGTATGGTGCACATTTTCTTCTCTGGGGTTTTTTGTTTGTTTTGTTTTTGTTTTATTATTATTTATTTATTTTAAATATATGCTGCGCAGGGTAGTTTGGGCCTATAAATTG